TATTATAAAATAATAATTATAATATCATATTATAATTATAATATCATATTATTAAAATAATTATAATATTATTATAATATCATATTATATGATAAAATAATAATATTATAGTTATTAATATAATTATGATATTATTTGTTACAATATTATTATTACATTATATTATATTGTATTATATTATTATATTATATTAAGAGTTTGAATTTTAGATTAGGAAAATTGTAAATTTTAAATTTTATTAGGGATATTATGAGTATTATGAAAGTTTTATTAATTGTACTATGTTGATTCTTGTACAATCTAAAAGCTAAAGTTATTTTTAGGTTGTTTCTGATTTTGGCTATAGATTCTTTAAAAATTCTTCAAAAAATACTTTTGAGGAGATTTAATAAACACTTAAATCAGTTTTTGCTACAAGCAGAAATTGATTTTGGGAGCGAAAAGCAATACCAAACCCAGTCAAAATAGTTCAAGTTCTGGTCTACAGGTTTTTTATTTCATTTTATTTTATTTTATTTTTGCTAAAAACTTCTTCTCTACAGGTTGCTAAAGGTACCTACATGATATGTCTTTAAGGGTTTATTAAAAAGAAAAAAAAATTTGATACCTTTATTATTCAAAAACATTTTGAATGTAAATGTATTTTTAATAGTATTAAAAAGGTATATTTTTCATTTCCTTAAATTGATCTTTAGGACATAAAATTTTCATATTACCCTTCTCATGAATTAAATAGAAACTAAAAATTCTAAATTGCTTTTAGTTTTATGTTTTCGTTTTAGTTTTTAAATTTTATAAAATATTTCATATTTTCAAATTTTGATTTTATGTTCCCTCTTGTCCAATTAAGTTCTCGTTTCTACTCCAAAAAAAAAAAAAATTTAAGTTATCGTTTTTTCAGTTTCTGTCGTTTCTATCTGATATTGTTGTTTTAATAATGTCGTTTTCTCAGATTTCAAGTTGTTATCCTGCAATTGTCGTTTTTACAATCATGTCTTTTTTCTTTTTTTTTTTTAAACACAATTGTCAGTCTTACATAACGTCGCTTGATGACTTTGTTGTAGTTTTTCCCCGATGTCTCCTTTTTCCTTTTGTTTGGAGAGCAATTGCACGATGAAACCAACACTTTCCATCATTTACAAGAAGAAACGATAAAAGAAAACCAACCCCTTAAAATACCGGCCTTGCCCCTTTAGAACCTCACATGTCTATTTCCGATCATTTTATAAAAACCATTACCCAAATGAGATTTTAATCATAACAGTTAAAACAAATTCAATTGATAGTCAAAATTAAAAGTTTGAGAGATAATTTGCTAAATTATAATAAAATTAAAGATAAATATGCTAAAAACCTTAAAAATATATTGAGCCTGTTTAGAACTCGTTTCAAAATGATTTTATTTTTTCGTATAAAAATGAAAATATTTTAATCTCAGACATAAATCATTTTTAAAAATGCTTTTGATAGTTTTATCAAGATATTATTTTCAGTATAAAAAAACTTATTAATGTCCCTCTTTCTGCTCGAGAGAAGAGAAAACGAAAATAAAAAATGAAAAATAATTTTTTATTTCTCTCTCATTTTATACTAAACTAAAAAATCGTTTTCATTTTTATTTTTTGTCTTTATTGCGCCAAATGTCATTTTGAAAACGTTCTCATTTTTTTTTTTTTTAAAACGTGAAAAATTAAAACGGGATCAATTCCAAACACGACCATTATTGCTCAAATCTGCTCCTCAACACACCGATAAGCATTATAACGATTTGTCATTCCATTTTAACGCCAGTATAGCTTGATAGCAACTTATTACAACCAGAAAACCAACCAAAGAGAAAATCAAGAAATCAAGAAAAGTTATAAGTACGAATGAAAAGATCATCTTCTGCAAAATGGCCTTAAGTCCTATAATACAAAACTCTGATTCCAAGTGCCTTCCGCACATGGATGCTGCTTAAGCGACAAGACAAATCGGATCTTCGGGCATTATGATGCTGCTTAGGATAGTTAACTTTGTACCGATATTTATGAAAAGACCACTTAGTTACAAGGATTTGTTTAGAGCAAGAGTTGTTAACGGACGAAATTGATTCTCTTTCACAAAAGAGAGGAAAAAAAAAAAATAAGGACAGATATGCAGAGTCTTTTCTTAAAGATTTCATGACCAATCATTGCTAGAATCGTCGTCGTCGTCGACGAACTCGGATGATGGAGTTGTTGAGAATGAGTGCTTTACATTAGCAGGACCAAATAGGAGCTCCAAGCAGAAGGCAGGGCCACATATTGATTTTCCCTTGCTCCCAACTTTATCAAGCTCTCGTACCGTCAGCTGCAAAGAATTCGAGACAAGCACACACAACTTATAAAAAATGAAATAAAAATTCCGTGCATAGACATATTATTTCATAGTTAGGCCAATAAATAATTCAAGAATGGGGAAAAAAAAAAAAAGAAAATAACAAAATCTTCTCCTTAGAAGCATGACTAATGTACCTGTAGGACGCTGCTTTTTATGAAAGCTGTGTTGAAGCAGGCATAGAAAAGACGCCCTCCATTCATTTTTTGGAAAAATATAACACGCACATCTCCTGTAACCTGTCACATTAAACATTTATTCTCCAGTCAGAGAGCTCTAGTACAAACTATATAGGAAACATGTATACTAGGATTTACGAGCCCGTTCAGTAAACAAGTTAAAAGTGACTCGAACCAAAAAGTTCATTTGAACCAGCATTTGGAAGATATTTTTGAGGCTTGGTTCAAACTTTTGATTCGATGTTTTGAACCAAAAAAAACTTGAGAATTCTGATTTTATACAACCCCCCCACACCATTGAACTAAAAGTTCAAACCACATGTTTCAAACTTTTCATTTCAACCACGAAAGTTCAAACACCACATTTCGAACCTATTTATCAAGCGGGCCCTATATTAAGGTAGTTTGAATGTAACTGAGGTGTACTTACTTGTACAGGTTTTTGGAAATGACAGTCAAGGCAGGTCTTATGGTATATCACAGGACTTTCTGTGTCCATTTGAACTACTACATTAGATTTTTTTGCTTCTCGTTTCTTCCCGTCTTTGTCGCTTTGCATGAAAGAGAGATAATAGCGGAGACTGTCAGTTCTCTCGAATCCTTTCTTCACTGATCTGCAGCAACTCCTGAAAACTTCCACTGCTGGACGATACAGCTCACCAGGGATCTGTCGATACGGTTGAAATCAAAGATTTCTTGAGAGTATGAAAATCAGATAAATAGGAAATTTTAGGTGAAAGTGAGAAAAATTCTATTAGCAAAATCTCATAAGAAAACAAATTACCAAAGTGCCTACCTCTTGCATCTCTGACACCACAAAGTAGACTGAATCGATGTTGACTGTGTCGTAAAGCCTAATTCGACGCAATTCTCTGCTACATGGTTGAGGCAATTTTACAATTGAACGTCCATTTGCAGCTCCTCGGAGAAACGAAAGTACACTTTCCCAGTAACCAACATAACGGCGTTGGCTTGGTATTGAAACCTGCCAAGCATCAACGCCATTCAAAACGCCTCAGATGAGCATATTATTGTTTTTGTTGTTATTCCTGTTAATACTTGGTGTCACTTATATACATTTGTTTTTGTCACTTACTCCTTCATTATTAGTGGTCCGTCTATGAGCGTATAATTGAAGAGCTTCCTCCGCAGACATCCCGTTGTAAACAAGGTAGGCACATACCATTAAGCCTGTCCTTCCTTTGCCTGCCTGAAAATGGAAGTGTGTTAAAGAAACTCATTAAGAATTTAATAGTTATAAGATCACAAAAGAAGAGCTCTTGAATAAAAATATGAAGATCTGTCATTCAAGTTCTAGTAAAAGATAAATTTAGGGAAAAAATCGTAAGAAATTTGTAAAGAATGGTCTTAACAAATAAATTAGTGGGAGAGATATGCCAGGAGTACCATGCAGTGTACAACAGCAATGTTTTTTGGATCTGCTGAATGCCATGCGGATACACTTTCACAGAAAGCCTTGATCATTTCGAGCTGCGGGACATGATTATCATCGAAAGGATAATTCTCTACACGGCCATAAAAGAGGGATGGATCGTAACTCTCTTCTATACAAAGATTATAGATCTGCAAAATGCCGTAAAAGAGGCAACATCAATAGAACACGAATGAAATAGTGTAATGCTATATTTTGATAAATAACCATGAGATTTTTAGTAATGTCATAGTGGAGATTTGTGCTGGAAAACTTTGTGCACCTTGTAATGTCCATAGTGTCTCATGTCCAGCACAGACTTAACTTGCCAAAGAGGATTGCGGTACATTGCTCGCATGCGTTGTGCAGGGAAGGACATGGCTAATAAATGATCAGTGATGTATGACATGTCGAGATCATAACCCTGGATGAGCATCCTCCTCCGCTTCCTCGATACCAAGTTGCGAAGGCAAAAGCTTTTGGTGACATAATTGATCAGATGATTTTGTAAACTATGGTATTCGATCTTCCTAGGTTGCTCCTGTTTCGAAAGGCGTATTCCCATTTGAGCGAGATGACAGGATACTCAAAAAGACCCTGTTTAAAGAAAAAATAATAAATAAATAATAAAAAAAAATCTTATGAAACTTGTGTTTTTCACAATTATATATAGGTGATGTATGTAAGTGCATAACATTGAATCTGAGCAACTGAAGTTAGTGTAGGCTTGAACTCAAGTTACAAGGACAGACAATCTCTGTGGAGTGTGGATTTATTCTTGTAAAAAGAAAAAAGAAAAATCCCCAGTAATAGGTCTAATTTATAAAAGAAGAAGGTCCATTAACCACAACATGATCAACCTTGTATACAAACAAGAAATCCTAATAATTCAACTGAGGAGCTAAAGAAACATGCCAAAACTACAAATATAAACAAACAAACCTAATAAATAAGATACTCTTGGATTCCTAACTAATACCATTGATTGGTTATATTTTGAGCTCATTATTCTGCTGCTTTTCTTTCGCAAGACCGGATTATTTCCGAAAAGGGGCACGTAAATACAAGCAGCAAACACAAACCTGACCAAAATTCTAGATGATTGTCATGTCTAAAACATTTCGTTTGAGAAGCAGCCTGAGCTTTTTCGGATCATTAAACTTCTGCAGATTGTACCATTGCACGGACCTTATACAACAAACATGTAAGAGGATATAGATACAACTATCATTTTTCAACTTTTCTCTACACAGCTTAAATTTTTTTATAAAAAAATTAAAAAATAAATTAAAAAATTAAAAAATAAAATTTGGGTTAAGATATTTGACAAATTGGCATAACATGTGCAAGATTATATATCAAATTCCCCAGACATATATACTAACACATACGAATTCAAACAAAACCTCAAGAATATTATCCTGTGAAAGAAAACATTATAAAAACAGCTAATCAATTGATAATTCATGTATCCAAGTTAGTCTTAACTAAATGATCTTCTTTAAAAAGCGTAGTTCTTGATCTTGGAAATTCAAGAACAATCGAAAGGGGTATTGAAAAACATGTACCTGAGCAAGGATGATCAATTGGGGGCGTTGCGTTCTTGGGTGAAAGATCATCAAACTCCCCAATGCGGAAATTGTGGAAGAGATTAAACCCTGGAAATCAGAAATATTGGCTTGGAGATTGAGAGAGAGAGAGAGAGAGAGAGAGGAAGAGAGAGAATGGAAAAGGAAATGAGGTGTTTTTTGGGGAGGAAAATGGTGGTTACAAGAATGGAGATTTTAGGAGGAAAAATGGCCGAGAACTTAGGCTGAGCTATGCATGGAAAGCAGTCAATATATAGTAGTCTTATTTAGATACGCCTTTGTTTGGAAGACAGTTCCTAAGTATTGGCGGGAGCTCGGGATTTTCCTTCTATAACTGAATTCCTTAGGCATTGTTTGGCTGCACCTCTTTCTTTTAACGCTTTTTTTCTTTCTCTTTCTCTTTTTTTTTTTTTTTTTTTTTTTTTTTTTTTTTTTTTTTTTTTGAATGTTCGGGTTATCCGGTCGCTTTTGCAAGTCACTAGATTGTACTGGTGGAACTAATCGTCTCTTAAGTGTCTTTGTATATGAAGGTCAATATTAGTGTGTGCATTTTTTAAATTTAAAATATAAATTAGCTATTTCAAAAAAAAAAAGATTATCCACACACAAATAACAAAAAAAACTTTTTTTGCTGAAAAAGAAAAACACTCTAGGGTTTTGGTGGTCGAGAAGGAAGCTTTAATGGATGTAGAGTTCTACGCAGTGATAGACCTAGAATTTTTTTGTTGGCCTGAGAGCAATATAAGACAAATAAATAATTTTTATTAAATGAAAGTATAATTTATATTTCAATTATTGAGTTGGGATATAATTATAAATTTTCTTATAAAATTAACACAAAAAGAAATATTTTAGTTAATTGAATGGTGCACAATTATAAATTTTCTTATAAACATAAACAAAGTTGAATTTCTTATAAATTTTAATGATAAAAATCGAATTTTTAAAGTTAACTCGGGGCACATGCCCCCATTTACTACTATGTGGCTTTGTCACAAATTTTTATGGTAAACTACAAAAAAAAAAAAAAAAAAAAAAAAAAAAAAAAATTTTTTTAAAAAAAAAAAAAAAAAAAAAAAAAAAAAAAAAAAAAAAAAACTTTTATCAGTAGAACATAATCCTAAACCGTCATCACATTTTAATCATATTTGATTAAGAGAAATATGATCATCTGATAAAATTTGATGAGGATTAGACGATTACTCTACCATGAAAGGGACTTTATAAATTAATTTTTAAGAAAAAAAAACGAAGAGAAACTGATAAAGGCATAATAATTTTTGCAAGAAATACACGATCATCTTAGACTTTATTTTCAAAGGTATTTCTTCCATCATGATTTTGGTCATTTCACGAAATTCATTGCATATAAGGCTGTATAAAGTTCAAAGCAACATTAGATTTTAAATAGATTTAGTTTTATACAACATGCGGGGGGGAAGTAAGCGGCATTTCCTCACCTCTAAAGGCATTTGATGTTTCTTTTAGGAAATAATAATAATAATAATAATAATAATAATATAATAATAATGATTGAAATATAAAATTATAATAATATGGTTTGGTAACTCAGTATTGTATTAAAACAACATCCAATATTTTTGTAGACAACATATTAAACCAGGCCTGATAAAGTACAAATAAGTCGTTCATATGTTGCAACTTTTACAATCAGATTACCATGGATCTACAACGAGACCGATAAAGTTTGTAGTGCACCGCCATGCTGCTGCTATTATTTGCTAACGACAATATGCTTAGCAAGCCCATGTCTCGTCGTTTACTCGTCAAGAGGAAATGAACGGAACGAAACGATACTCAAATCTGTTGCACTAAACGACGGAAAGTTGTGAAGTCCGAAACATAAAACGACAAAAAAGACAATTCAGCAAAACTCAACACAATGGGAATAATTGATTCTCATTATTATACTGCGAAAGAAAACAAGATGAAAGGCAAATCTCATGACTCAAATGTTGTTTTCCTCTTTTTTACATGAATGGCAACACCAATAATAAGAAGAAGAATTTGGCTGGTTTTTTTTTTTTTTTTTTTTTTTGATATTTTTCTTTCATTGAGCCATGGCTTGGAAAGAAAGAAGAAATGAATCTTCGAAATGGGATTCTTTTTTTTTTCCCCCCCTGTTTTTTACTCAAGATGGTCGTGAGGCTTGATTGACATGAACATGGCAGCATATTGCATGAGCCTACGCTCAGTGCTTCCACTCTCGGCGACAGGAATCACCGGACCTCTGGTCCTAGTCCTGTACCGACGCCACGCGAGCTGTATATTTACGGACGCCCATGTCCGCCAATTGGAGGAGTAGTATCTGGCGGTTCTCTTGAGCCTTTCGTTGTTGAACTTGTAGCGGAAGTGGTCGGTGATGTACTTGAGATCCTCCGAGTTTAGGCCGAACGCCTCGGTCGTCTCGACGCAGACGAAGGTGGCAGAGGAGGGCGGCAGGCGGTCGAGGAAGGGGCGGCGGAGGCACCACGAGAGAAGCTCGTCACCGAGGAATCCGCCGGGCTCCAGCACGCTCGTCGCCACCATGCCTTTGCTGAGGTTTTGGTTGCGCCTTATGCGTCCCCGGACGATGAACACCATTCTTGGAACTGGATCTCCTTCTCGGATTATCTGATGATGTTTTTGTGTTAGGGACATGATGTGGTTTAGTAGGACTAACTTACTAGTAAACAGTGATTCGTTATTCGTGTCTCTCCAATAACATTGTACTATAGTTACATAATTATGTAACATTTTTTATTGACATGATACTTTTTTACCTCATATGACATAATTGTTAAGGAACGTGAGTCAAATCTGACTTTTAGTACCTTTTCATCCTTGGTGAAGACTAAAGGTTTGACTCTATCGCATATGTTGTCAAGGATGAGATCGTCCAAGTTGTGGAACAGAGGAACCTGCAAAAACAGAGTTGATGGTTTGAGAAAATTTTTAATGAAGGACCACTTGAAATAATCTTGTTTTAATTTCTTAGGCCTCCTTTGTTTTACAATTTAAGTTTTCAATTCGAATTGAGAAGTGACTTTATATAAGAGTAAATACTATAACACAAAAAATTGAATTTAAATTTTTGTGTGAAAAAACACTGTAGCAAAAATTTAAATTGTGATTCGAATCGGTGAAACAAACTAGGCGTTAGGTTGTGACAAGATAAGGTACCTTTTTAATGAGGTCAAGGCATAAATAGCGCTTGATGTCTCTTCGGAGGCCTTCTGGCAAGTCTTTGAGCATTTCCATTTCGTCTTCTCCACCCAGGGCCGCCCATTTTTGGCGCTCGTAATGCCGGACTCTTTGTCTCAGACGAGACGGAAGCTGTCGCCGCTTCATCCACCACTCCATGTCTCGGCATCTCAGCTGCAATTTCCTCTTCTTCGCCATGACAGCATGCAAAAATACCTTTTTTTTTTTTTTTTTGTACATGGTATAGCCGCACTATTAGACTTGTTGTCAAGAAAACAAGGTAAACTAACGGAGCTTAATTAATGTTGAGAGTAACAAATTTTACCTGGATGTTTCCTATCAATAGTGTGAAGAGCATCAATCCAGCTAGGACAATGCATATGCTGAAAATCACTTCCAGCCAGTGACTTGTGGGCTCAAGATCATTGCCAAATGTGCTGAAAATTTTGGCACAACGAAAGTGTTAAGAATTGAACACCTTAATTGTATATTACCAAGAGTAATAAAATAACAGAAGATTTGAACGACTAGAGTTGTAAAATTTCTCAGGAGTTTCCAATTACTACGAGACTTCTCAAAACTCAAACAACATGTAGAGAACAAGCCACAAAAAAGGCTAAATCAAGCTTTCAAGATCAAAGTTTTGTATAAATTTCTCTCTTTCTTTTTTTCTTACAGAGAAATTCCAACTAAAATATGGATTTTCAATTAGGAGGGCTAGGCAAATCCAATATACCTGAGAGTCATCAAACCCCAAAAGATGGGATATAGAGTCTTGACAGCTACTGAATTGCTAGATATGACCGGGAGAGCCCACTTATAAATCCCATAATTGTAGGTCCCGTTGACATCAAGGCAAAGCGGCTTTCTGACCACTGTTGCGTTGCCGCCGCACGGATTGCCAAACGTGCCGGTCGGTAAAAGAAACTGGTAACATACTTCCTCTCTGCAAGCCAAAGATAGGTTGCAGTTCATGTTTCTCTCACAATGTGTCCGGAGACATGAAGCCACTCGTTGTATTGCAAGAACATACCAACAACCCCCAGCAACCTACGTCAAAAAAAAACAAAAAAACAAAAAAAAACAACAACGATATGTAATTATTTGTTAAAGTCTTATGGTACGAAATCAATAAAGTTTATCTAAAAGTATTATGTTTGTTAGGCTTACATGAGAGGCTATAAAGTAGGCAATAAGGTTGAGACCAAAACCCCACCAAATAGTACCAAAAATGTACCCCGTGACCTTTTGCATGCTTCTCATTAGGCAAATGCTATGGTAGACTTTCGGGAGGAATTGGAACAAAAAAATGAGCAGAAGAATTGTCATTATCAGCTTAATCTTCTCTTCTCTGATCAACTTTGGTAGTACTAGCCAAAACACAGCCTGCAACAAGAGAAGCAAAAACTTGTATTAATAATTAGCAAAAAAAATTTAACCAGATGACTCGTGAAAGCCACCTTGGAGAAGTAGTCATGAAAATGATCATGTGACTTAATTGTGTAATCAATTACAGCAACCATTTTTGGCTTAAACATTAACTATTGAAAACAATATGAGCCTTGTTTATTATACCAAATTGGTAATGAGAAAAATTGAGTGCTTCATTTGACCCTCACATGCAACACAAAAACGCAAGAGAGAGAGAGAGAGAGAGAGAGAACATTGATGGTAATGTATCACCTTTATGGCCCGGGCAAGGCATATTGTCATATATTGTTGCTTAATTTCTTCGTTACTCTAAATGTCAATAAATACCTCAGAAAAAGGCCAGAATGTCCCTTTCAATTGACGGACAACTATCATGATGTCGAAACTTACATATGTACATGGAGGTTTTATTTTTATAGGAAAATTCACTGCAGGCTTTCTATTCCAGTTAGGTCTAAAGGGTTTTAGTTAGGGTAATTCTTCTGTTCTGGATAATTGTGCCTTTAAAAGATTTGAACTTTGCATAAAATTTTTTATCTTCATCCTTGGACGTAATTCACTTCAACTTTGACCACCATACAAGAACACCACAAGCAAAAAGGAAAAGGAAGGAAAAAAAAAAAAGTGTAGCCCTGCACACAAAAATTTCTTTAAAGTTAACAACAATGTTTTTTTTTTTTTGATAATAAAAATTGAATCGGATTCATATAAACCCGTTCCTACACACAATTTTTTAAGAAACTAGTGCAGTTGGCCTTCGCCAATCATTACAAGGGAGTGTTAAATCATTGCGGAAACTCATGGGTAAAATAGTAATTTTGCACTTTCATGACGTCACAGCAGGAGTTCAATAATAGATACTGGATCCCAAGAAATACGCAGTAACAGAATCAAAAGCAACCTAACAAACAAAATTAATTACAGCGCATGAACAAGATTTCCCACTCGTTATTATACACTCAGTTACTCGGTGGTGTCAAACGACAAGAAAAAAAAAAAGAAAAAAGACTGACCTGAGGAACAGGAAGTATGACGAAGGCGTCGAACCAGAAGCCTTTGAAGGACCTGACATAGTGGGAGGCGATGGCACGTGCGTCCCACACGAGCTTTCCACAGCCGACGACGAGCGAGTCACGTGACACGTAGGCCAAGCGGAACTGCAGCCAGAGGTGGCAGAGGTGCACGGCGTCGACGCACGTGCGCAGCACCGTCACGACGGCGGCGAGTGCGCCGTCCATGTAGAGGCAGGGAGCGCCGCCTCTGCCGATGGAGAGCGCGTAGAAGAAGAGCGGGTCGACCGCCAGCGCCATCCCACGCGCCAGCAGGAACGCCCGGTTCCACCTGTGCACGCGCTTGCTCCGCGGGTCGATCACCCGTCCGAACGCCCCAGCCGGAGGCCGCTGCTGCTTTTTGGCGGCGACAAAGAGGTCCTTCTTGAGGTCGGTTCGGGAGCTTATTGGGATCAGGGACGTGCCGGCGCAGGCCTCCCACTGCGGCTGGTGCCCCGCCCGATCGCAGCTGGTCGAGTGGAACGCGGGCACCCCAACCTGCGTGCACGCGTAGCATTCCCCTGCCGGGCTTGATACCGTGGCACTGATGTCATGATCAGCCGCCGCCGCGATATTCTTATTGTTGTTGTTGCTGCTGCTGCTGCTGCTGTAATCATTTTTGAAGTTATGACTGCACAGTGTTCCTATCCACCTGCAGCAATATTATAGTTTACACAATATTTAATTAACTCATGTTGAAAATATATTACAAGTGCAACATAATTGGTATACATATATATTATATATATGTATGTATGTATATATAAGTGTGTGTAGACTCAGACCTTGAGAGGGAAGAGAGAAGGGGGTTGGAGTGGGAGGGCATGGCTGAGGGAGGAGAGAAACCATGGGAGAGAGGAATATTGAGGAAAGAGAGAGAGAGAGAGAGAGAGTTTTTGATGCAATGATAAGAATTGGGGTGGGAGCTATACTAGCGTATAATAAGGATAATAGAGGAGAGGAGAGAAGGAATAAGGGTAGTAAAATTTCAAGAGTGAAGCTAGCTAGGTAGAGATGGGGACGTGGAGGTGTTTGTCTGTCAGGAAATGCACATGTAAGAGAGAGACAGAGGAAGGAGAGGTGTGGGAGAGAGAGAGAGAGAGAGTAAGTGTGTGTTGTATCTATACATAATGAATTTTTTTTTTTTAAATGTATATATGAATGTATTTATGTGTTGACGAAGAAGAATACCGTCTCACGGAAACGTCCCGTAGCTTGGCGGGCGGGGGCCAGCGGTGGGGTCTGATCACGCATGATCATCAGCGTTGTCTATTACTGCACTTGCGCAGCCGGGGTTGATGGGGCCCACTCTCTGGTGATCAAGTGACGATTAACCACTTCCACCCTTTAGCCGTACCCCTTTTGGACCACTAGTTACCGATCTTTTGTTCCCTTCGTCCGCTTCTAGTTTTGCCCCGTCACTTTATGACATGTTCTTTTAGAGTGTGATTTGAGTGTAATTTTTAAATTAAATTTGAGTTATAATTTGAGTTAAAATTATAATTTAAATTTGTGTTTGATTGTGTGCATTTGAGTTATGATTTGAGATAAGAATCTTTTTGAATTTGTGTTTGAGTGAGTCAAAACTTGAATTTGTATTTAGATAGTATTTTAATAAAAAATCAATGGTGATAAAAAATTTTAATAGGGTATATAGATGGGGTTTTATTCATCTTTTCGTTGTCAACGCATAGAAAAAAAATCATTTCAATCAGGATTAAAACGAAAAAGTTATAATATTTTTAAAAATAGAAAAAATAATGTTCATTAATTTGAGTTCGAGTTTCTGAACTCGAGTTGAATGAGAAACTTGAACTCGAGTTTTAGTCTCAAACTCGAGTTCAAATTTAAAAGAACGTGAACAATGCCTTAACTATTATTATTATTTTTTGAGTGATATTGATTGAGTTAGCAACTAGGGGCGGAGCCATACAAATTAGTCGGAGTAACTGAACCAATAAGATCGGACAAATAAAGAAATATAGAATATTAAGAGTAAGGGGGGTTAAATTATAATTTTATAGAATTTCTGCACATACAACTTATATAAAAAATAAAAAATAAAAAAAAATAAAAAATCAGTTGGAGTGGCCGCACACCTCGTCCGTGTGTGGCTCCACGCCTACTAGCAACATTGTTAAATTTGTGGATGCGTGTAATGGTAAATTCACTTATTAAAATGCTGTATCTGTTATAAAAACAGTTTACGTAGTAGTTTAATTTGCATCTTTTTTGCCCTGATAGTTTTTGCATTTTTGTTACGTACAAGTACATGCATAACAACAAACAAAAACTTCAGAATAATAAGGAAAAAAATTATAATCGACCTACAATATCTCACCTAAAATCCTTCCAATGACATGATGAACAGCATGACAGAGGATAATATTGAGAGTGTTATGAGTTCAATCACGGTCTATTGTTTCAGCAAAGAAATCATTATGTCTAGTGTCATATTGTAATATTCTCATGTACATCTCTCTTAATTCAGCAAAATTTTTTTTTTTTTAAGGAAAAAACCACACATCTCTCGCATGCCCAGAGTATCTTAGCTTGAGAAAGTGGGTTTTGGAAAAAAAAAAATCACTAATATATATTTTTTTTGTGCAGTATTTATTTAGAAAGGCCAATCACAGTTTCAGGACGTAGATCCAGATTGGTGTCCATTTGGTCTTGAGTTGGTCAAATACTAGAACGTAAAATGCAGAAAAAATAATGAATACGTGAATTTATAGAGGTTCACCTTTAATACGATGGCTACACCTATCGTAAGGTTTCAGGATTTCACTATATATGTATGAGAAAATTACAATTGTAATGGAGAATAAGAAAGGGAGAAAGAGGAGGAGGGGATTTAGAGAGAGAATCAAGCTAGAGAGAGTAAATGAGAAATGTGTATGTTGTTCAATTTGTGGTATCAATCTCTTATTTATAGAAGATGATTTAGGCCTTCTAAGTTGTCTTTTCCTTGAGCTAACACAGTGTTGATTGGCGGAATGAGAAGTTTTCTTTTTTTTTTTTTTCAGTTTACTTTTTTCTTTTCTTTTTTTTTTTTTTCAGTTTACTTTTTTCTTTTCTTTTTTTTTTTTTTCAGTTTACTTTTTTCTTTTCTTTTTTTTTTTTTTCAGTTTACTTTTTTCTTTTCTTTTTTTTTTTTTTCAGTTGACTTTTCTCTTCTCTTGTTTTCTTATTTGATTTAAGGTAGATTTCTCTCCAAATTTGATCTGATGCTTGCCTTTATTCGTAAATTTGGTTGATTTGGAGCTCTCGCCTTTAAAAGTGTTTGGTTGGAGGGAGAGACGGAGGAATGGAGAGGGACAGATGGAGAGGTGGAGGAAGATGGGTAATGACTTGCTTGGTTGTAAGGAGAAGAGGCTAGGAAGGAAGGAGGAGATGGAGGGATGAGCTCTCCTCTTGGGCCCACAAAATTATATCCTTCCATTCATGGGAGGATTCGTGAAATCCATCGTAATTATGTTTCAACAGACTTTTATATCCTCTAAAATACTATTAGAAAATAATAAAAAACGTAATATAATAATTAAAGTACACATTCATCCATTCTTTTAACTCTCTCTCCCTCTTACCAAACAACATAAATGATTACCATAATCCTATATGTTGTAGGGTAAAATCCCGAACCCTAAATCAAGCATTGAATGAGACCCACACGTCATAAATTAGGACATTAAATGATCGAGGATAGCTCAACCTTAGCCGTCACGTCGGATGGTTCTAGGAGCGCTTATGAAGTCGAGTCTATGCAAGTTGATAGATATGCGAGATTTGCTCCGGGATTTGCTATTTGTAATTCAAGTATACAAAATTTAAACAATGAAATCATCCTAATTGATTGTAATCCCTACCTTTTAGAAAACATCCCAAAATATGAGAGAAATGTCCCGAATTAAATAGGGAAGCTAGTTGGGATGAAGAGGAACCTATATAAATAAAGGATTGTAGGTCGAGAAAGGAGGGAGTCTGATTCTAAGCATTAGTGTGTGTAATTCCTCAAAAGATAGTGAATTATCTCCTTCCTACAGTGGACGTAGCTCTTGAATCAAGGGTGAACCCCTATAATTCTCATGTGTTCTTATTATTTGATTATTTTAATCACGTTTTAGAACATTAAATTCGCACAAACCGTTTTGAAACTTATGATATTTTTGTTGATGAATTTTCACCATCAACACTATCCATCCTTCATATTCCCCATCCCTCCAATCATCTCCATCCTTCTTACTCTCCATCCCTCCTACCAAACATGGCCTAAAGGATCTTCTTTCCTGATTTATTCGTGGTGGTCCCCATGAATCTCATATCGCCGTGCTTCTCTAATTGAAATTGCTTCCTAAGTCGCTCTACGACCAGTTGATATTCTGTAACAACCAGAAGAATTAAGACAATTTAATTATGTTAATTGTGATATATTAGTGTGCCTAATTTGGTTTTCTTAATTAATCATGCTTATTAAATATTTTCTTATTTTCAAGTTTTAAATATTTCCATGAAATTTTAATTAATTTCAATATTTACAAATCCACCCCAGAAGTATGTGAAAACACATTTGCTTACCTATTCTTCAAAATATCTTTTGATTTTTATCTTTACTTTTTCTCTCTCTTTATTTCTTCCTTTTTCCTTTTCTTTCTCTCCCTCACCGACATACACACACTCTCTCCCTCGTCACTCTCCCCAGCTCCCTCTCTCCCTCACTCGTTTCTCCCCTTCCTGCTCAAACTTATCACTCTTTCTCTCTTTCTAAGGGAGTTTGGACTTAGTGTTGAACCAAAGAGGATTTCTAAGAAGCTTTCATCACCAAAGCAAGGATTAAGGTAAATTCTTTGAGAAATCCACTCTTGAATCTCATATTTTTCTTTGGTGAAACCTGATTTTGATTTGGTTGATGAATTCTTGGTTTAAGCTTGATTTTGAGATGAATTGTAGTTAATTTCATGTTTGAACTTACGGGTTTTGGTTCTTTAAACTTGTGGAAGTGATTGGAAACTAGTTTTAGTGATTTTCCATGAATATATGTTGAAATCAAACTCGAAAATGCAGGTTTTGACATTTGTTTCTCGTTGTTCGGCCATTTTCCCAAACTTGTAGGATACCGACTAGTCGACCGCCCCGGTCGACTGGAGTTCACACAACTGGCCAACCGGTGGAGTTGTACTCCTCTGCCACTAGTCGATCGGTTTGAACGCATTTTACTACAAGAATGCTTTAAAAACTTGTTTTGACCCCAAATTTCAATGGAAACCCAAATTAACATCATTTGGAAACTCAAAGTGAGTGGATTAGCCACATTAATCCTTGTTATATTCTATTTTTTTGTTTGAGTTCTAATTCTCAAAGGACCACAACTTGGATGATGAAGTTGTTTATAAACTTTGGTTTTGAGTCAAGGCATACTAGTATAATATAATTGTACATAATTAAGTTAGATTTGTTTTAGATTTGAGGTCTAAACTCTAAAATATTATTTTGATGATGAAGCTAGCGGCAGAATCAGATATTGAGCTTCAAAGATAAGTGAGGCTAGGACGACGAGAAGCTAGCCGTAGAACTGATATCCAATAGGCACGATATTCTTGACCATATCCTTGATAACCTTATTTAAAATGTCTTTGGCCTATGGTAACATTTTAAGGATAAAACGTGTTTGACATTATTAAAGATTTAAAGAACTATTTGAAGTAATATTTTCTTAAAATGAGATATTTTAAGAAATGGTAAAATGCAGGATGGCCTAGAGATCGGGGTATGCAAATCATATCCTTAGGGGCAGGTCCCGAAACCCGTATAGGCCACTCCATAGCGTGGGTGGTGATATCATGGCTTTGCAATAATGGAAGTAATTTATCATATTCACATAATTGTGTATTAACACATGAAACTTGAATTTATGGTTTTTTCCTTTCATTAAAAAGATGTTTGGTTCCAGATGATATGTTCGGACCGTGCACTTTTTAATTGCTAAAGTTTTATAAAATTACATCCTACTGGGTCTTTCGCTCACTGTTTATCTTGTTTTCAATGTTTTAAACCCCTCTCAGGCGACGCTAGAAGCAGTACCGAGTAGATAG